CCCTATATAATCCTATATGAGCTACAGTCTAAATTCTTCAAAGGGGTTATATAGGGGATTATGTAGGGGGCTCCTATAGAGGATATTAAGGAGGACACTAGGAGTTTAGACAGTGGCTCATATAACCCAGTACATATTTTGACAACCCTGTAATATAGCCCTATATAATCCTATATAATCCCATTTAGTCCCATTTAATCCTGCATCATCCTATACAATCCTATATAATCCTATTATCCTACATAATCCTATATAATCCTCTATAATCCTGCATCGTCCTATACAATTCTATATAATCCTGTATAATCCTACATAAGCCAATACACATTTTGACAACCCTGCATCTGCGCCTCATGCAACTCAGGCTTGGCGGTCTGATCTTTCTGCCAATGACATCGCTTCCTCTCCTCCCTGGCAAACTATGGGATTTAAGGTGTAGGGCTTAGGGATCAAGGTGGAGGGCTTTGGGTTTAAGGTTTAGGGTTTGAGGTTTTGGATTTAGAGTTTAAGGTTTAGGGTTTTGAGGTTGAGGGTTTTAAGGTTTAGGGTAGCAGCAAGACAGATAATAAGAATGCGGGCACCATGAAACATGGAATCATTGTGGCAACAAGAAAGGGTTCAGCACTAGCGCTGAACATGCGGAGTCTGCTTTCGAATTCACAGGGATTCCGAAAGCATGCCTCGGCATGTACAACTGTGAAAACAAGATCCCAACCTACAGTCCGTCTTCAACCTTAGACACAAAACGGTCGCTTCCATTTACTTCCACACTAGTTTCCATTTGATTCTCGAGTATTAATAGCCCACCACAAGGTCCTGCTAGAGGCAACATGAAGCCTTGGCAGTCTGACAACATTCCGAAAGACTTGAATGACCTTGTTGTAAACCCCAAGCCATGAACCCCACATCCTACCCCCTAAATCCTAAACAGCCCTAAACCCCAAACCCTAAATCCTAAACCCCTAAACCCTAAAACCCTAAACCCCTAAACCCTAAACCCCTAAGCCCCAACAGCCTTGGCCGTTTGACCAAATTCCCAGAGACCTTCATGATGTTATTGTAAAGGACGAGGCCGAAGCTGCCCTCCATGCGGCTCAACTGCGAAGAAGCGAAGAAAAGCTTAGTGGAGCGGTTTAGGGTTATTAGGGTTTAGGGTTTAGGGTTTAGGATTTAGGGTTTAGGGTTATATTGGGAGAATGGAAAAGAAAATGGAAAACTAAGGGGGTTTAGGGTTATATTGTGGTTATGTCAGGGTTATACTGGGGTTGTATTGGGGTTTATATTGGGAATAATTTAGGGTTATATTGGGATACTAAAAAGGAAAATGGAAGCTACTATAATGGGGTTCTATAGGGATGTGCGATTTAGGCTTAGGTTTTGAGAAGGCTGGGGTCTAGGGGCTTAGGGCTTCAGGGCTTTTAAGGATTAAGTTTGGAGTCTACGGTTTAGGGTTTGAGGGTTTTAGGGTTTTAAACATTAAGGTTGGGGCCGAGGGGTTTTAGGGTTTTAGGGCTTAAAGTTTAGGGTCTGGGAAGTTGGGTTGTTGCTGTGGGCTAGAGGTGAGGTAGGTTTATGGTTTAATCGTTTCAGGAGTCTGGGCTTCACGATTTGGACAGTCTGGCGTCCCTTTTCCAACGAAAATACATTTTATGATTTCTGTGACCGCACTGCCGGATAAGATTTCAAAATGCAGTACTTGGCCATTAGTTGCAACTCGTCCTTCCTGACAGTACCTGGCTCAGTGAATGTGCTGCGTGCCTGCCAGCCCGCAAAGTTGGAGCACTGAGCTGAATTGAGAAAAGTTGTCTCGGGGCCCTTGAGACAAGCATGTTAAATCACACTATACTGCGCGAAGGCATCCTAAACCTAGTGCAACCTGAGCCCTAAACTCCAAACCTACACCCTGAATCCTCAACACCAAAATTCCAAAACCCGCTTCACACTGCCCACCTCGTCCTCGTTCAGCAGCCATCTCAGGATCACAGGAGACATGGTGCCTCTAGCAGGACCTCCTCGTGGGTTTACAGCAAATCTGGAAAGTCAAATGGACAAGAACATGGAAGCTACTGTAGGGTGTGGGGTCTAGAACGCCATAATGGAGCATCAAGATGGAGAATTGAAAACCTGGGGTGATGTATGGGCTTTATGACCACCTTTCTTAATTCATGTGCAAAGATGCTGCTTAACGGCTGTCCCGGATGTCACTTGGACTGCACATCATAAGTCCTCTCGGACTGTGAAAAGCAGAGTGAACGGCCCATGCTTCTTCTAGGTCTCAGCTGGGTTGCTGTTAAGGAACTTATGTTAAGTTACCATAATACGGGTATGTAATAGATGATAGGGTTTCCTTGTAATAGTAGCACAGTTTACACCCTTAACTTCCTTAACAGCAACCCCGTCAATAGTATCTTTGCTGTTTCTAGTTGAGCAAACTGGGGCGTGGTGCAAGGCAAATGTACGGCCAAGGCATGCTAAAACAGCACAAGCGCTGAGGCACTACGGTTGATACTAAATGTCCTGCAAGGACTTAGTGGTGTACCACTGCACCATAATTCCTAGGGTATTGAGGGTCATGCAGGATTTTAAATATCCACCGTAGAACACTAAAAACTTTTTCACCACACGTAACACGATGCTGAAACTGTTCAGTAATACTTGGGTCATTCCCCATCACAGAATCTGTCCCTAAAGGCGTCTTACTAAGTGGCTGCTATAACTCCTATTGCCCTAAACCCTAAACCCCTAAGCCCCAAACCCTGAACCCTTGCCCCTAAAACCCATGATAGCAGCCAATGTGAGGGGGAATGACCTGAGGCACTACCCTGTCAGCTCGCTTCCGTCAGAGCAGGCTCCGCAACCAGGGTCTGCTCAGCCTTAAATGGTAGGCGTCAGGGTTTAGGGTTTTGGGTTTTGGGTCTAGAGTTTAGGGTTTAGGGTCGGGTTGAGAGTTTAGGGTATAGGGTCAGGTTTAGGGGGCTATAGAGAGTTTAGGGTTTTGACCCGAACAACAATGTAAAATCGTATGGAAAAGAACGTGGAAAGTGAAATGGAAACTGGGATAATGCAGGGGTTCATGCAGGGAAATAGGGTAATTTTCGTGACGCCATATAAGAACCTTAAACTGACAATGTCAAATTGTTTGAGGTCAGGGCAACCAAATTGCAAGTCGCCAAGGCCAACGAATCTTCCCGGATTGGATGCAGCTTGGCAGGCCGATGCGTGGATGTGATCAAAGACGTGCTGAGCCTCTGTTGCACGCACTGAGCAATTTCGTGAAGTAGAATCAATTATGAGCCCTAAGCCCTAAACTGTAAACCCGGAGCGCTAACACCCTAAACCCCAAACTCCGAGACACATAGCTTAGAAGAACCCCCTAAGGCCCTATGTATATCCCTAAGACATCTCCATATACCCAAACTCTAAAGCCTAAACCCGAAACCACTACAACGCCTATAACCCCCTTCAAAGGGACCCCTAATCTTCGGACCCACTGGCCCCTAAACCCCAACAAAACAAAACCCCTAAACCCCAAAACCCTTAACCCCTAGACCCCTAAGCCCTATAAGCCCTAAACCCTAAAACCCTAACACCCTGAACCCCCAACACAAACCCTACACTTCCTCCGGGGCGAGTTGCCTGAGTTTCACCTCCAGCCTCAAGAACAGACCTGGGGGTTGAAAGAAAGTTTAGGGTTCAGCGTTTTGGGTTTAGTATCGTTACTTTGGGTTTGAGGGGTCATTTTGATTTTGAACTTTTAGAATGTTTAGGGTTTAGGGTTTAGAGTTTAGGGTTTTAGGGTTTAGGGTTTTAGGGTTTAGGGTTTAGGGTCGTAGAGGGATTAGATAAAGGCATCAAGGGATGATATGGAGTTGCGTAAGGAGTAAAGAGTTATGGAGGGTTTAGGGATATTGCCTCAGCAATGGAGAATCACGTGGAAAAGGAAATGGGACATGAAGTGGAAGTTAGGATTAAATGGTGGTTCAGAGGGTTTAGAATCTGGTTTTGTTTCGGACGCATGGATACATATCTTTATATATATATATGAAAATGTATATGTATGAGGAGAACAGCACTTATAGGGTTTGGGGGTAATGGCATTGGGCGCTGCGAAATCAAGATCTCTCCCTGAGGGCCCTTATGGTGAGCACCAATTTCTGGAAACACCCATATGAGTACTGTACCCTGGCTCTGTGGGGTGCCCCTTAACTTTGTGCATTTGCCCGGATTGTGGCAAACTCCACCATGCCCCTGGCCACGCATCAAGTCGACGGAACAGCTGTGTTGTTGCATGCTGACACTCAAACATCCCCATCACGCAACATGTCATGCAACCACCAAGTCCGAATCATTTGTTAGAAGCATTAGCCAACAGCCATCCGTTGATTTCATCTACTGCTCATACATGTGGCCATGATGCGTCCTTTACCATACAGCTGGTCGAGGATGTGACCGTTGCCCTTGCCTCCGAAAAAAGAAAAAAAAACACACACACACACACACACTTCTGCTTGGGCCTCGCCAGGGGCCAACTTTAAGAACGGAGCCCCAGCCCTTGAACCGCCTCAAAAAACATGCTGGGGCCTGCCGGGCCCAACTTTCCGATGGCAATCATTGTCCACAACGAGGGCGGCCCCTTACCAGAAGGCAATACCTGAGGCTCAGGGCTCAGGCTTCGTAGTCCACAGCTTTGGATTTCTGGGTAGTTGTTAGCTTGCACGTTGTGAAGGTCGGCTTCTAAGGTTAGGGATTTGAAGCTAAAAGTCTGCTAAGATGAGGCTCAGACACCCTGTCTTCAAGCTTTTGATCCAGTGAACCGGCCAATTCTCCAAATGGAGCATGCACTGAAACGACGATTCTCTGCCGAGGCATTCCACGCGGAAGTATGTAATTGCATTTTAGCTCCAGTCTAAAGTGCATGTGCCTCTTGTGATCCTTCTCTCCATCATACTGCACAGAGCTCTGCATCTGCTGCGAGGTCCAGCATGACGGTGCGCAGAGGGGCGCTGTTTCGGAGATGGTCACCAGGAAGCGGGGCACAAAGGTTACTGCCTCGGTGTCTTCTTTTCCCGCTCCGACTTGTTCGCACCATTTGTGCTGACTGCACATCCAAGGCGGCCTCCATGCCAGTCAGTAGCCTCATCATCTGGAGATGTGCTCGCAGGACTGCATAAAACACTGCTGTCTGCCCGTGAATGTCTTGGAAATTGCGATGCATTCCCAGGCTGATCAGCAGCCTCGCAACCTGCAGGTTGCCGACTTTCGCTGCATAGTACAACGGTGTCTGTTTTACCTTGTCATACATGTCCACCTCGACGCCCTTGCGGATGCATTCTCTGGATAGCTTCAATGCAGCTGGCTTCACGCCTGCAGCAGCAAAAAAAAGAACGGTCTGATTCGAGCGTGGATCCAGCTCTTTGATGTTTGTCTTCTCGAGCACCTCGAGCGCAATGTCAAGGTCAATCACCAGGCAATGCACTAATCGGCTTTTTGCATCGAACTTCACAACATCCTTGCTGAAGATCACCTGTTGTTGTCTGGGCTGTCGCTCCTTGCCCTCATCTTCACGAACTTGGTCCACATTCCCCAAGCAGCACGTGCTTGCTCTTGGAGGCCTTTCAGTCAAAGTCCTCGCACAGGTGCTGCATGTGCTCGGCAACCTTCTTGGAAAGGGCGGCCTGCTGTGATAATACAAATAGAAAACGCGATGAATGATAATAATGATAATAGCAATAAGAAGAATACTAATAATGATACTAATGCAAATAAGATCAGCAACATTGCTAGTAATGGCAAAAGTAATATAAACAGAAAATCGTAACAGTAGGAGTTTTTACCCCCTTCAGGACGGGGTTACAGCGCAGGCCTGTCCGACTTTTGCTTTGCGGATGGCTGCCAGTGTGCAACCTGCTTCAGGTTGACCCAAAACCCTACATCCCAAACCGCCCTAAATCATGGAACCCTCGAACGCAGTAATCCTTCTTCTGCATGACTCGTAAACATGATCAGTCCTGCCTAAGTCTCCCTATAATATCCCTGGAAAGGAGATCCATAATCTTCATACGATCCCTATATGAACCTAATATCCTCATACGATTCGTGCATATTCCCATCATGTATCCCAAGCGTCCCGAACCATTCAGGACTCGCCTTGTTGCTGGTCAGCTGGCAACAAACCGCTGGGAGCCACAAAAGCTCCTGGAGGAGTCACATCAAGGGTTTGGGATTCAGGGCTTAGGGGAACCCTGAACCCTAAACTCTCGGCACTAAACCCTATATAACCCTTTTGTAGAAGTTACCGTTTTCTTTTCCATTATAAACCTTGTATAACCCCTATAATCCCTATAATTTCCATTTCTTTTCTACTATCCCTATATATTTCCTAAACCGAGGCTCTAAAGATGGAGGCTTCTCCAAATAGGAGGCCTTTCTAACCCCAGATAGGCGAGGGCTTCCCAAAATCAGGTGTACCTTGTTGGGGATCCTTTGTAGGCGCTGCTGGGATAGGCAGGAGTTTGTGGTTCGAATTCGAACAGGTTCTTAGAATACTGAGATTCCTTCAGGCTTCTGTAAAGGGATGACACGAATATTTGGGTTTTGGACATCTCTAATAGGGGACAAATCGCTGGGTAGAACACCGAAGACTTGCTAGGGATTTATAGGGAGAGGGCCGATAAGGCAGACCTTATGGAGACCGCCAAGATCTCTAATCAAGAGTCTATAGGGGTAGCTTTGAATACCAAATCGATTTAAAATGCGGGCAAACGTCGCGCTGTTGTTTCGGAAAATTTCTTAAAACAACCAGAGGTCATGACTGCTATGTGGGGATGATCTTGCTGCGGCCGAAGTGGTAGCCCTCACCTATGCAACATTCTATATAACAATCGAGATTGATTATGCCGATAAACCCTATACCCTCAATCCTAAACTCTACACCCTGAACCCTGAACGCAAAGCCCGAAACCTTTAAAGCGACCCCGATATAGTTCCCATCATCCCATCTGGTCTCTATTATCTGGGTTACAGTTAAGAAACTTAAATTAAGTCACTATATTGACGGAAACCCTAATTTCTACGGCATACCGCAATATGGTAACTTAATTCAAATTTCTTTACAGCAAGCCAGGTATTAGGTGGGTGGCCTCCAGGCATCGTCATAGGCAAAGCGAATTCGGAGCTTGGGACAATTTCTGGACCTTTTCAGCATTAAGTAGGAGCCTTAAAGAATATGTGAGCCTATAGCCTGAACTCCTAGTATCCCCGTTAATAACACCTATAATGGTCCCCTATATAACCCTCTATAAAACCCCCTTTCAGGAGTTTAGACTATAGATCAGTGGGGTTCAGGGTCTGGGGCTTAGGACATACAGCATTCGCAGGCTTGGGCGCCATGAGGGGCAGAGATTAGCATTTTCAAGGCTTGGGCTTTAGGGTTAAGGGTTCTGACTCAAGGTTACGGGCTTCGGCATTGTGTGTAGGAAATCAACAAATGAGGTTTGGGAGGTTTGGAGTTTGCCATGCGAGAGTTCTGCGGATACCCTAAACCCTAAACTCTAAAAACTACAAACAGCTTGCAGTCCGTTTAATATGCGGCTATCGCACCACTGTTGATACTATAAATCCTGCATGACCTTCGTATACGAGAATACCATCATTCACGAGGTATAAGGTACTTAGGTACCTAGATTTATACCATCCACCGCAGGATGGTGTTGACTGCAGATCTGATCTAGAGCCCTTGCTCTGTGCGCGTTACCGCAAACATCAGGGGCTCCCTCTTGGGAGCCTTTATGTTGAGGACTCTTACTTCCAGGATTCTCTACCTCGCTTTTTGAACGCTGTACGTGCACGGAATTTGTGTAGAGGATCCTTGGGCAGGGTTCCTGAGGACGACACAGATGGCACAGCATTGCCAGCGTGGTCAGCGATGGCACGTGGGTCAAGTAGAGCTTCAGATGACCCTCGAAGGCCCCTTGTTGCTCCATCCTCGGATGATGGGATCCTAGACTAGACCTTCTCAAAATAAACCACGAAGAACGCTGGAGCAGGGCCTACCAAAGCCTCATTTTGAGCGTTTACAGAGTCCAACAAACCGAGGATGTCCAGGCGGTACCTACTTGTTATTACTTGCTTTTCAACAAGCCCGTGGTACAGAGACAAAAGACTTCTGCACCCCTAAACCCTGAAATCTATCTTCTGGTGCAATCTAGCCTCCCTGCCAAGTTCACAAAGGACCTCAGCATTTCCAGCAAAGCAGCCCGCTCTGCGAATCGCTCAGCTGCCTCAGTCAGCCATGAAAGGTCCCAAGGGGCTCAGTCTTTTTTACGGCAACTAAAAGACCCCGATGTCTTATGGATGATGCTTCTGGCAGATGTGGGGAGTTCCCGTTACAGATATTTCTTTAAGTCCCTAAAGTAAAGATTGTACTATTCGAGGGTCTATATTATTGGGTATTGATGGAAGCTACCATCTCAGCGCTAAATCCAAGACCCTAAACCCTGGACAATGCTCCGGCAACCTCAGCCTGAATCCAGAATCACGCAGTTGAGTTGACGGGTTCAGCGTGTAGGGTTTATTGGTTTGAGGGCAACCCTAAATTCTGAATCCCATATCCACACCCCGATGCACTAAACCCAAAGCAGCTAGATGTCACAGGAGCTTCAAGTTTCTTGTCTACTCCCATCATCCAGATGTGCTCGCCCATGAACACCCCATATACCCTACATAATTCCCCATCTACCACCCTAAACCGTATCACACCCTATCTGGCCCCTAAACCCTTAGCCCAAAACCCTAATCCCTCAACCCTGCCTAAACCCTAATCCCAAAAGCCTATTCGCTAGCTCCTAAACCCTAAGCCCTAAATCCCTAAACCATGGAACCCTACCACTCATCCTGGACAAAGCATAGCGGACAAAGCTGCCGTCTCAGGAGCCGCTGAGGGCCCCAGCAGAGCCGCCAAGTCCGACTCTGCCTCTGCATGCTCGGACACCTGGGTTCAGGGTTTAGGGTTTAGGATCTAGGGTTTGGGAATTTAGGGTGCTGGGTTTAGGGTTTAGGGTTCAAGTTTAGGATCTAGATTTTTTGGATCTAGGGTTTAGGCTTTAGGGTTTTAGGTTCAGAGTTTAGGGTTTAAGGTTGGGTGTAGGGAAGACACCTGGTCCACTACGAATGGTTTATACACCTTGGTAGTTGCGGCAAAAAGGGGAGTGTTTTGGCCATCCCAACCGTTTTAACTCGGACTGTGCAACTAGTACATGAGCTACAATTCATTTTGCCCATCAAATTAATGGACATGGGCTCCTTACTAGGGGATATACGAGGGACTATACTAAACTACAAGAGCGGCCCCCATGTCCAGTGTTAAGGGTCCCTAAATCAGGCTATCATTGACAGCGACTCATATGACAACAACAGGATCCTTACTTGGGGGTTGGGGGTTAGCAAAGCCCTGTAACCATTGCTTAGTATGGACTCTGTATACAATCCCCATCTTCCATCAGTTTCCGTTTCATTTTCCATATTCTCTTCCATTTGATTCTGTGTTGTAGGGATTGGAAAGGATCCTGCTGGGGGTGCGACCCTGTGCCCCCGAAAAACAAAGCAATCAGAATTGCCAGAGCCCTTACAAACAGGGGGCCCCATGTAAACCCCAATCTACGATAATCCTGTTTCAAGGAACTCCCAAGAAGGTGCACTGCGTATTTGGAAGCCCTAAACCCTCTGTACCCTCATATACCCGAACAACTCCTCAAACAGCCATTGAAAATGCCACTCCAGCTGCGAAAACTTGGCCCGTCTGCACACACTCCGAACCACGAGGATGCAGGGCCTTCCACTTCGCATAGGCAACAATGCTGTGCCTCCGTGTGTCTGTCCCCATGAAATTTAGGGTTTCGGATTCGCGGCGCCCCATCGTTGGGATAATAATCCCTAAACCCTAAACCCCAAACACTTTCCAAGTGAACCAAGGCACATGCTGGGGATCTGCCACTCCCGTAGGACGGCGCGGCACTGCCTCCGCGCCTCACGCACCCAGTCCTCGCCCGGCCTCTCCTGAGAGTTTTAGGTGTGGGATTTAGGGCCTTTGGGGTTTAGGTTGCAGGGTG